CACACGTTATCTGTGGCCAGAGCAGAATTTTGTGAAAATGTGAGCTGAAAGGAGGAGAGAGGAAGGATGAGAGAGAGAAGAGAGGAGAGAGAAGAGAGCATTTCTGTTCCAAGAAATGTCTTTTCTGCAAACAGCTTGGCATTTATCGCTCTTGGAGAGCAATTCCTGATGTCCAAGGATGAGATCAACCCAAGGCTAAGGATGAGAGAGCCATCCTAATCCCACCAATTTCAGGACAGCTGTGTATCTGCTACCTAAGGCCTGCATTAATGATAAAATTGGGACCACCAGCAAGTGTTATTGATGTGTTCCTGGATAACACAGCTCCAAAGGACCAAGCTCATCATTTAGCCCAGGGATTTCCCAATCGCAGCCCACCCCTCCCAGAGAAAAGGCCACACATCTTTTGGACATGAATACCCTAAATGACAGAGAAGCCTTCACAGCATCCCCATGGTTAATTCTCTGCACAGCTGATATTTTGCACCCTCTTTCTTGTCTGAATCTATGCTTCACTTCAGCCACTTGACCTCACTCAGTCCCTGGCTGGGATTCTTCAGTTTTCCACTGTGAGAAATCTTCCACCCTTGCAGTGAACTGCAGAAGAAAATCAGATCATTTTTTGGTCTTTTTTGTAAAACACTTTGAGCTCTTGGAACTTTCTCTCAAAAGCAGAGTTTCTAGCCTCTTAATTTTACTTGTGGCTGTTTTCTCTGCCATTTCCAAACAGACTTTTTAAATGTGGAAGTCCTGTAGCCGGGTGCAGCATCCACACGATGGGGATGAACAAAAAGACAGTTCCTCCTTCTGCTTTTAGTCAGGGTTTCCTTGCGTAACCTTCCTCCTGTCCTCAGCCACCAGCTCGCTCTTCATGTTCATACTTGTCATTTATACTTCAGGATCCTTAGCTTTTTTCTGTGTCTTCTTCTTCCAAACAATAGTCCCCACCATGTAAATGTGAGTGCTGTTTTTCTGTATGTCATTTTGCAATTACCCATACTAAAATGAACACATTGCGCTCAGCAAGTCAAATTCACCAACCAGCCCAGGTGACTTCATACAACAGAGTACTACTCCCATTTTCATTTTTGCTGATCTACTGTTTTTTCTCTATATGATACCTGAGAAAATAGTCCTGCAGCAATCACTCCCCACACCAACGCTTGTGGTCATTGATAATTAGGGCACTAAAATGAGGCAGCAGTAGCTGTTCTGCATCAGAGAACTCCACTGAGTCCCCCGTGAATCATGTACATCCATTTGCCTACAAATACCAATCTGTGGTATTTGTGGTATTATGGGGTAAACAAAAAACAACCAGATCTTTTCTGGAGCTCTTTTTCAAATTTTCCATACTTCAGCCTTTAGATGCAAAGACGGTTTCAGAAAGCACTTACACATCACCACTTCTAATTCAGCAGACTCATTCTTGGCTTTCTTAAGAACTCTGAAGCAAGACAACCAGCCCGGATGTTTTATCACTGTCCGTTTCATCAATTGGATCCATAATCTCTGCTGAGGCTTTTCAGTTTTGAACATATCCTCTGATGAGTCCCCATGAAGGTTAATTACAGCATGGGAATCTCCATGTTTTCTTCTACAATCAACAATAACACAAATAATTGCTTCAGCTTCTCTGTAATGGGCTTGTCTTTTCTAATTGCTGCTTTTATACTCTGATCATGTGCTGGTTCTGTCAACTCCTTGGCACACTTCTTGTTTCTGATATATTTGAGGAAGATCTCTCTCCTTCTTTAGCTGTTTCTCAGATTCTCTCAGTGTGCCACTTGGGCAGGAGATCAGGGATGCGTCACCGACACAAGGACATAGTTCCATCACCTTTATATCTAAAATGGGCCTTTCTTCCCACAAGGTGCCTCTGGTTTTCACTGGGACGGTTAGCCTGCCCACTTTCTTCAGTTTACAGCCCTCTGTAATCCCTTGGCTTGTGGTGCCCCAGGGACTGTCCACCCTGCCCAGGTTTCCAACATATCTGTTGTGTGCATGTCTTCATTTAGGACCTGCCAATCCACTCCCCCACTTCCAAAGGTTCTTGGCGACCTAGAATATACCTGAATTTTCATCCACTGCATAACTTTCTCCTGTGCTGTGACTGAGGACTCTGTAATCAGACTGTGCAGCAAAGGAACTCAAATACCCTACAGAAGCTTTAACATAAAGCATTAATACATTTACAGATTTTCAACAGCAAAGTTTGTAATCTGGCCGAGAGAAACCACTCAGATTTGCAGGGCAGAACTTATTTTCCGCAGGGCAGGACTGGCAGGCATTAATTGTGCTCGCAAGTGATCTGCCACAATCTACTGTTTCCAGAGCTCCAGCATATGACTTGGGCAGGAAGCAACCTCCGGTCAAGAGCCCAGAGCTGGGACTGAGCTCCACACCCAGCTGAGGCAGCAGCGTGGCCACCAACATCACCAGGACTGGGGCAGCTGGTCATATAAACCCCTAAAAGTGGAGAAGTTTGAGAACATTTGACCCCAGATAGCTCTCTGTCATCTTATTTTCTGGCAAGGTTGCTGAGGACCCTATGGAACCAAGCTGCTGGGGACGTAGCTGCTTTAACCATGCAGAAGATGTTGCAACAACCAGAGCTGGCATGTAAAAAACCCATCTCATTTCACAGGAAAGCAGAACTGAGATATAGATTTGCCTGTTCAGTGGCTTGACGTTTGTCTTGTGTCACAGACTCAGTCATTCAGGAAAAAAACGTCAAATTCCTGTTATCTACACCTTTGTCACCAGCCTACAAGTGTGAGCCCAGGCACAGCAGAGGGCTCCTGCCCTCACACTCCAGGAGAGATTTCCTACTCATGTAGGAAATGCCACCACCCCCTCCAGGAGCCAGAGCCAAGAGAAGCTGTGAAACATGGAAAACCAGGCAGAGCAACCAGCATTATCACCAATCCCAAAGAGAGAGAGTTTCAGAGCCCACCTGTGCTGAAAGAGGATTCTGCTCCTCTACTCTGCTCCGGTGAGACCCCACCTGCAGCACCGTGTCCAGCTCTGGAGTCCTCAGCACAGGAAGGACATGGACCTGTTGGAGCAGGACCGGCGGAGGGCCATGAAAATGGTCAGAGGGCTGGAGTCCCTCTGCTAGGAGGACAGGCTGAGAGAGTTGGGATTGTTCAGCCTGGAGAAGAGAAGGCTCCAGGGAGACCTTACAACAGCCTTCCAGTACCTGAAGGGGGCTAAGGGAGAGCTGGGGGTAGGCTCTTGATCAGGGAGTGGAGCGATAGGACGAGGGATAATGGGTTCAAATTGAAAGCAGGGAGATTTAGATTAGATACTACAAACAAATTCTTTGCTGTGAGAGCCTGGCCCAGGTTGCCCATTTGTCTATTTCTGTTAATTTTTATGCCAGCTTTTCAAAGAACATTTTCTTTTTGACTGGCATTTTGTATTGTTTTGTTTGTAGCCATTTAAATGTATTGTTTTGACATCATGCATATTTATACTCAATACATCATTAATCGGGGAGAATTTCATTCCTTTGCAAAAATAAAATCCTACACTGTTTGCAGCATTTCCTACACCAAAGCTACAGAATCCCACTGTTCAAACTGCAAGGGGGACCCAGAGGGGTCTCAGGGAGGACTCAGAGCTGTACCTGTCCCACCAGCGTGTGGAAAAGCCGCCTGCGCAGCCTGAACTGCCAGGGCAAACAGTTTGCCTCACAGCCAACCGTTGTCCATGGCTTGGATGGGAGGACTCTCCACTGGGTTAAAAACTGGCTGGAGGGCCGGGCCCAGAAAGTGGTGGTGAATGGAGTCAAATCCAGTTGGCGGCCGGTCACGAGTGGTGTCCCACAGGGCTCGGTACTGGGACCCGTTCTCTTCAACATCTTTATCAATGATCTGGACAAGGGGATCGAATGCACCCTCAGCAAATTTGCAGACAACACCAAGTTGGGTGGGAGTGTTGATCTGCTGGAGGGTAGAGAGGCTCTGCAGAGGGATCTGGACAGGCTGGATGGATGGGCTGAGACCAACGGAATGTGGTTCAATAAAGCCAAGTGCCGGGTCCTGCACTTGGGTCACAACAACCCCAGGCAGCGCTACAGGCTGGGGGAAGAATGGCTGGAGAGCTGCCTGGCAGAGAAGGACCTGGGAGTGTTGGTCGACTGTCGGCTGAACATGAGCCAGCAGTGTGCCCAGGCGGCCAAGAAGGCCAACAGCATCCTGGCCTGTATCAAGAACAGTGTGGTGAGTAGGACCCGAGAGGTGATCGTCCCCCTGTACTTAGCATTGGTGAGACCCCACCTCGAGTACTGGTGCCAGTTTTGGGCCCCCTACCACAAGAAAGACATTGAGGTGCTGGAGCAGGTCCAGAGAAGAGGAACGAAGCTTGTGAGGGGTCTGGAGAGTAAGTCTTATGAGGAGAGGCTGAGGGAGCTGGGGTTGTTCAGTCTGGGGAAGAGGAGACTGAGGGGAGCCCTTATCGCTCTCTACAACTACCTGCAAGGAGGGTGTAGAGAGGCGGGGGTCGGTCTCTTCTCCCAAGTTACAGATGATAGGACAAGGGGTAATGGCTTCAAGTTGCGCCAGGGTAGGTTTAGACTGGACATTAGGAAACAATTCTTCACAGAGAGAATGGTCGGGCATTGGAATAGGCTGCCCAGGGAGGGGGTTGAGTCACCATCCCTGGCTGTGTTTAAGAACCGTTTAGATGTGGTGTTGGGGGATATGGTGTAGGGGAGAACTTTAGAGTAGGGGAGATGGTTGGACTCGATGATCCCGAGGGACTCTTCCAGCCTAGATGATTCTGTGATTCTGTGGTTTGGAGCCAGCTCAGAGCTGCTGCTGCTGCAAGCCAGGAACTAATAAATGTCACTGAGCCCACACAGAGCAGATTAGAAATGGCCATTTGGATTTTGGCCATCAGCCTGTGCAGAGCAGCCATGACACCTCTCTGAATTCCCGTTGAACGTGAATGGACTGTGGGAAAAGTTCATTTGCAATTTTAAAATTACCTGAGTGGGTTAATCTGCCTCAGGAAGTCACTCCAATAGTTGGGACCTTATTCCAAATCCTGTCTATCCTCTACCAGCATCCAGCCGCTGGATCCTGCTCCAGGTACTGCTGTCCTCCAGACTGGAAGGCCTGTTAACAGAGCAGGATTTTTTGCTGAGACACTTAGGTACCACAGCTAATTAAGCCCTTAATGCTCTTAGAAATTCAATAGTTAAAGTAGATAAAGGTTATCCGATACTTCAGTGACCTCCAAGTCTTCTCTGGTCACTGCACCTCAGAACAGCACGATCCACCACTTATTCCTCAACAGCTGAGGCTACTTTCAGCCTTATTGAAGCATCCATTGAGTTCCAGTTTAGCAAATCACCAGCCCCACCCTCCAACCCCTTTGTCATCTCCAGGTGCATCAGGGTCATTTCTGGATTTTTTTCTGCTAGGCTTTTGGTAAAAATGTTGAATGTAGCCAGACCACAATACAGGTAATTCTAAGACTTTGCACTTTGAATAAAGTGTGAGGTCTAGAAGTTGCTCTGCTGCTCTGGGCTGGCTACAGTTCAGCCATAAATAAATCCTGCCTTGACAGAAATCACTTTGAATGAGATAGTCCCTAAATGTAGGAAACTCAAGTTCTGGGAGGAATCCCCAAGCACGGCCATCGGGTTCTCGCTCCTGACACACAGCAGAGATGGGATCTGACTCACAGCAACATGACTCGGGAGTAACTATCAAGGCCTTAACAGAAGCAAATCAAGGACAAGATATTTCTGTACAGAATATTTCTGTAAAATCAGCTTGGTTGCAGGTTAACGAGTTTGATAAAAGCCTGCACTGGTCTGGAACAAGCATTACAAATGCCCAGGCAGTAGTGCCTGGACCTTGATCTTGATATAAAAGGAGTTACAGAAGTCAAAATACCACAACATCTGGCCGCAAGCTCCGCAGGACGGGCCGAGCAAGCTGCAAGGAGCAGCAGTCAAACACCCAGATGCAACTGCATCCCCGCAAGGCTCTATCTCCCCACCCAGACGGCTGTGGGGAAGTGCCAGGCTCGCGTCTTTGATGAGAGAGATCAAAATGGCTTGAGACTCCAGCAAAGGTGTGATAACAGCGGATGATAGTCAGGGACTTGAACCACCCACATACAAACGCAGCGCAGCAGGACACAGCTCAGAGCATCTCCAGGCTCGACACGCCACTCCCTGCGATGGCTCACTTGGAGCAAGGAGAGGAGCAGGAAGAAGTGGGGAGGCCATTGTTGACTTAGTTTTAAATGGCACATGGGAGCAAATTCATAAAGTAATAGAGGCTGAGATGCTGCATTATAACAGCCCCAGCGCTGTTCAATTCAGCCTTGCACAGGGAAGCCAGGACCAAACAGCAGTGAGTGACACTGAACGGAAGCAAATTCTAAAAATCAGTGTGAGGCTAATTAAGCAAAGCCTAAAGGGGTTCTGAAGAGCAAATCAGTAAAGGTATAAAAACAAACAACAGGGCTGAGTGTGTCAAAAAGCCATCAGGAAAACATGGGGCCGATAGACTGTCAGAGGTTAAAGGAAGCAATTACAGTAGGATATTGCAGAGATGCTAAATGACTCTTCTCCTTCCATCTTCCACACCCTCCCTGGAGATACGTATGCCTTTGCAGAGCCTCCAAGGAGATAGTATCCACAGCTGGGGCAACAGCAAACATGGGCTAGGAAGCATGATTGCTTAAAGGGAAATATGTTACCGTACCCATTTGATGGTTTCTCCCTCCATCTCTCTCTTCATTCTCACTCCAGCCTCCAGCCTCACTTCCAGAAAAAGTATCCACTGGAGGGACTACAAATGAAAGGCAGGAGCTTCTGGTCTGATCCTAGAAGTCAGGAGACAGGTGGCAAGAGAATAGAAAAGGCCAAATTCAGATAACGAGAGGGGAAAATCTCGAGAGTTGTGATAAGAGAGTGGTCAAAACAGCCTGGATATTTTACATATGGGGGTGGGGAGAAATTATAACTGGCATTGCCGGGGTATTTTGGAAAGTGCTCTAGCTCTACATTCCAGCTGATCCCAGGTGGAAAGCGATTTATTCTTCCTCTGTAGCATTAGTATTAGCTGCAGCCATGACACGGGGCTGGAAGGTTTTCACAGATGATCTGTTTAAGAGCTGGCAGCTCTTAGACCGATGTCAGTGGGAGGCGAGTGAGATCTGGCTGCTTCTGCTCAAGGGTGCTGTACCTGAAAAAAACAGTCCTGCACCTGCAGCCCGGTCCTGGCACAGACCTTTACACTCGGCTGAGCGATGGTGCCAGGCTGCTGCTGGCACACGTGGGAGGGTCTGGAGGACTCAAGAGAGGCACGTGCTCCCAGGGAGTGAGGAGACCTGGAGGCTAACATGGCTTTGAACGTGACACCCACCTTGGCAGCCCCGTGTTGCCATCAGCACCAGAGAACAAGAGAGATTCGGGCCGGCAGGGACTTGTGGGGGTCTCTCAGGCGAAGCACAGCTGAGGAGCACTGTCCCTCCCACAGGGCTGTCCACCCCGCTGGGGAGCTCTGGCTGCCGGGGTCTCCGGGATGCCTTGGCAGAGGCGGCTGCGTGACATCAGTCTCCTCGGCCATTTGTTGCCATTTGTGAACGTTTGGTCCCCGGCGGCGGCAGATGCTCTGGGGCTGAATCACAGGGATTTGTTGTGGCGAGTGTTGCCTCGGCACCTGCTGCACGCTGAGAACCTCCTCTTCCTCTGCCCCCGGCCGCCCTGCCCCGGCCATCAGCCATCGCTGCTCAGGAGCCACTGCGTGATGGAGACCGTGGGTGCTGTCCCCAGGGGCAGGGGAGATCCGTGGGCTGGCAGCCAGGCTCGCTGCCACCCACCTGCTTGGTGAGAAAGGGTTAAAAGCAGCGCCTGGAGCAACTGAGCTGCAGGGCTCCCTGTACAGCCATCATCTCCATCTCCCTGACAGAGCCACCAGCCCGCTGAGTCCTCCCAGCCTTCCTCCTCCTCCGGTGATGGAGACGTCGCCCAGCCCCGGGGACACCGCACGCCTGCACACTCTCCTCCAGCAGAGACATCTGAGGAGAGGCTGGGGGATGAGGAAAGGCCCCAAGAGACCCAGTGTCACCCGAGACCTCCCCTCTCTGGGGGAAGCTGCCCCCCCCCAGCTGCTGCATGCACTGCCAGGAGCCACCCCCACCCTCCTGGACCCGACTCAGCACGGTCCCCATCCACGAGCCATCCCCCGAGACCCTCTCCTGCCCCATCTCACTCTCCCACCAGAGCATCCCTCATGCACTCAGGAGGAGCCGTGGTTGTGTTCACTCCGCTCCTGGGGGAAGACCTTGTGTGAGCTGCCCTCACATCCCCTGGCTTGACAGAGCCGCTTCCAAAGGCAGCCCCTCCTCCAGCTAAAGAGGTGGGGAGAGCCCCCCGAGGCATCACTTGGCCCATGCTGTCCCCACATTGTCCCCAGGCCTGTGGCTCTACACCCCAAGCACTGAAGTCAGCTGGACGAGGCCATGGCACAAGCATCACCTTTCAGGCGACATCCAGACACAGGATGAAAACTGAGGCAGAGCAGCCATCAGATCTGACCACCAGAAAGCTGTTCCTCCCACAGCCCCTTCCCACAGAGATTATGACTAAGAGAGACATCCCTCTTGCACAGCATTTGTGCAGGAAATCATCAGGGTGCAGAAAAGCTTAGTATAAAAGCACGTGAGGAGGAGTTTACGCTGACGTGTGAAACGAATGCATGCATTTGTTTCAGACCTACTAAAGCCAAAGGGGTTAAATTTCTCCTCTAGGGCTGCAGGATGGACTCCAAGCTAGAAATGTTTGAGCTCTTGCACTCGGGGGTGATCATCTAATGGATGATAATGTGAATGGATAACAGTGGACAAAGGAGTTGCCTGGGAGATGCCACAGGATAGCAAGGGATGGACACTGGCTTTTAGGGACTGGCAGCCAAGGACTGGAACAAATGCAGACTTCACCCCAAATCTGATTCGGCTGCAAATCTGAGCCGAGGACCAGTCGTGCAACCGAGCAGCATACGTGCTGCTGCAGAGAAGTCCTCAGCCCTGAGGACCAGAGACAGGCTGAGCCACCCTGGGGAGCGCGGGTCACACCCCAGCGGTTCAGTTGCAGCCCCTCTGGCCCCCAGGACGGGCTGAGGGGACCGTCCTCCACCCATCAGGCTGTGCAGAGCCCGTCCCGTTGGCCACGGGAGCCGGAGCCTGGCGTTGGCTTTCCTCCGGCTCCCGGAGCCACGGGAGCTGCTTTGCCAACCGACAGGTGCCGAGCACGTGGCACCGAGGGGGGCGACCCCGGAGGGCGCAGGGCTGCCTCCGAGAGCCCCGGTACGCGGCAGCCTGCCGTGCCCAGAACTGCCTGCACGCCGCGGCCCCCAGGGCTCAGCCTGGGTCTCTGCTGCGGGCGTCCCGCACCGCAGACCCCCGACCCACCCGGAGTCACCGCGCTCCCGGTGGACGGGGGCGCCGGGGACACCGTCCGGTGGCCGTGCTCCCCCCGCGGCGGGGGCTGAGCCGTGGCGGCACGGCGGCCGCTCCGGGCGCCTCACTGGGCTCCGACGGGGACAGGGCCGGGCCCCGAGGGAGCGCCCGGGCCCGCCGAGCCCCGCGGCCGCCGCTCCGGGAGGATCCCTACTGGGGCTGGAGAGGGCTACGAGGTCCCGGGAACGGGGCCTCCCCGCGACCGGCACCCCCTCAGGACGGGATTGGGACAGAGACCCTGAGAAATCCCGACCCCTTACAGACCGGGCCCCCTCAGTCCGGGTGCGGGGACCGCGGGGGCCAACGGGACGCCCCCGCCCCCTCCGCGCCCCCGCCGCCCCGCGCCCACCTGCCTCCCGCGGGGAGCCGCGCATGTGGAGCGCACCACCGCGCCGCGGGGTGCAGGGGGGCCGGCGGCCGGAGCGGGCATGTTTACATGGGGGCTGAGGGGGGCGGCATCGGCGCGGCCCCCCCCCCCCCCCCCCCCCCCCCCCCGCCCCCCCGGGCGAGGGGCGGTGCGTCGGTGGCAAAACCCCGCCCCTCACGGCCTTCCCGCTCTTCCAGTGCGCGTGCGTTGGCTGGGGAGGCGGAGGTGGGTGCCATGGCAACGCGGGAGGTAACGGAGGGGAGGCCGCGTCTGCGGCGGCCCTCAGGG